TCTGCTCACTAAATATTTTGCATTTCCATCTCCCTCCTGAATGTTTTATCTTAGAGTCTTCATATTTGTTACCATCTGTTCACACAGCATTAAATGAAACTATTTAAAAATTATTAATACAGTACTGTTTAATAATTAGTACCTGTTTTCTTTCATTCCCATTCTTTTTTTTCCTTTTTTTTTTTTTTTTTGTGACCGGCTGCACCGTGCTCAGCCAGCGAGCGTGTCGCACCGGCCATCCCTATATAGGATCCGAACCCACGGTGGAAGCGCTGCTGAGCTCCCAGCGCTGCACTCTCCCAAGTGCACCACGGGCTCGGCCCCCCATTACCTTTTTAACTTTAGAAGCTCCCATTACTTTTTTTCTCCCCATTTCTGAAAAGTAAGTTTTTATTTTGTTGATTTCCTTAATGTTTTATTTGGAGCTTTTTTATTGTGGTAAAATATATATAACATAAAGCTTCCTATTTTAACCATTTTTACATGTACAGTTCATTGGCATAAAGTACATTCACATCTGTTTTCATCATCCCATACTGAAACTCTACCCATTAAACAATAACTCCTTTCCCCCTCCCTCCAGCCAGACCTGGTAAACACTATTCTTTCTATTAATTTGATTACTGTATGTGCCTCATATTAGTGGAATCATACAATATTTGTCCTTTTGTGTTTGTTTTATTTTACTAAGCATCCTGTCTTCAAGGTTTATTCACGTTGTAGTATATATCAAAATTTCATTCCTTTGTAGGGCTAAATAATATTCCAGTGTATGTACAGTTGACCCTTGAACAACACGTTTTTTTTTTTATTTATTTTTATTTTTTTTAAAGATGACCGGTAAGGGGATCTTAACCCTTGGCTTGGTGTTGTCAGCACCACGCTCACCCAGTGAGCCAACCGGCCATCCCTATATGGGATCCGAACCCGTGGCCTTGGTGTTATCAGCACCACACTCTCCCAAGTGAGCCACAGGCCGGCCCAAACAACACAAGTTTAAACTGCACAGATTTTATATGCAGATTTTTTTCAATAAATATATTCGAAATTTTTTGGAGAATTTCTTCAGTTATTTGACTCGCAGACCAACTGCATAGCCTAGAAATATAAAAAAAAATAAGATATGTCATGAAAGCATAAAATGTATGTAGATACTAGTCTATTTTATCATTTTCTACCCTAAAATATACACAAATCTGTTATAACAAGTTGAAATGTATAAAAATTTATGAGGTACTACAGGTAGTACATGGCCCCATTTGCTGTCAAGAGAAATGTAAACAAACATAAAGATGCGGTATTAAATCATAACTGCATAAAATTAACTGTAATACATATTCTACTACTGTACTAATTTTATAATCACTTCCTGTTGCTATTGTGGTGAGCTCAAGTGTCGTATCTGCTGAAAACACTGAGTGACACTAATTAACTCTGTGAGCAGTTAGACTTTCCAGTAAATTGCATGTCCCAGTAAAAAGTGATCTCTCGAGGTCTTTTTTTACTTCCTTATGATTTTCTTAATAACAATTTCTTTTCTCTAGCTTACTTTATTGTTAGAATACAATATATAATGCATATAACATACAAAATAGGTATTAGTCAACTGTTTATGTAATTGGTAAGGCTTCCAGTCAAGAGTAGGCTATTAGTAGTTAAGTTTGGGGGGATTCAAAAGTTATATTTTTGACTGTGTAGGGGGTTAGTGCCCCTAACCCCCATGTTGTTCAAGAGTCTACTGTATATACCACATTTTGTTTATCTACTCGTGGCCTTTTACATTGTCTCCATTTTTTGGCTAGTGTAAATAATGCTGCTGTGAACATTGGTATACAAATATCTGTTTGCATCACTGCTTTCACTTCTTTCATATGTATACCCAGGAGCAGAATCACTGGAACAAGTGGTTATTCTATTTTTTGAAGAACTATCATACTATTTTCCATGGCAGCTATACCATTTTACATTCTCATGAGCAGTGCAGAAGGATTTCAGTTTCTCCATATCCTTGTCAACTCTTGTTTTCTTCTGTTTTTCTGATAATGGCCATCCTAATGGGTATGAAGTGGTATCTCTGTATGTTTTTTGCATTATTTTCATTTTTCTAATTATTTGTGATGTTGAGTATCTTTTCATGTGCTTATTGGCGTTTTGTATATATATTCTTTGGAGAAATGTCTATTTAAGTCCTTTGCTCATTTTTAATCAGGTTGTTTTCTTGCTGTTGAGTTTTAGGCGTTCTCTATATATTCTGGATATTAATCCCTTATCAGATATATGATTTGCAAATATTTTCCTGTGGGTTGCCTTTTTACTTTGGATAGTGTCCTTCAATGCACAAAAGTTTTACATTTTGATGAAGTCAAATTTGTCTTTTTAAAAATTTTGTTACCTGTACCTTTGGTGTCAAATCCAAGAAATCATTGCAAAATCCAGTATCATGAAACTTTTCCCCTACGTTTTTTTCTGAGAGTTTTACAGTTTTAGCTCTTACATTTATTTAGGTCTTTGATCTATTTTGGGTCAATTTTTATATATGGTTTTGGGTATGGGTCCAATTTTGTTCTTTTTCATGTGGATGTCTGGTTTCCCTAGCATCATTTGTTGAAAAGATTGTCCTTTCCTCATGTCAAAAAACATTTGGCCATATATGCAAGGGTTTGTTCTGGGCTTTCTATATTATTCTATTGGTTTATATGTCTGTCTTTATGCCAGTATCACACAGTTTTTGAATACTGTAGCTTTTGTAGCAAGTTTTAAAATCAGGAAATTTGTGTCCTCCAACTTTGATCTACTTTTTTAAGATTGTTTTGGCTATTCAGGATCCTCTAAGATTCCATATGAATTTTATAATGGATTTTTTTATTTCTGCAAAAAATGTTATTGGGATTTTGGTAGGGATTGCAATGAATCTGTAATTTGCTTTGGATATTACGGATATCTTAACAATATTGTCTTCCATTCCATGAACATAGGTACCTTTCTATTTATTTGTGTTGTCTCTAATTTCTTTTAGCAGTGTTTGGTACTTTTCACTGTACAAGTCTTTCACCCCTTGGTTAAGTTAATTCCTAACTATTTTGGGTTTTTTTTGATGCTATTGTAAATGCAATTGTCTTAATTTCCTTTTCAGATTGTTCATTGTTAGTATATAGAAATGGAACTGGTTATTGTATGTTGACTTCATATCTTGCTGCTTTGCTGAATTTGTTTATTCTAACACTGTGGGATCTTTAGTGTTTTCTACATATAATATATCATCTGCAAACAGATAATCTTACTTAAATGGACAAATTCCTTGAAAGATACAAGTCACCAAAATGGACACAGGAAGAAATAGTAAATCTGAATACTCCTGTATTCAGATTTGTATAGAAATTGACTAAAGAATTTCCCACAAAAAAAACCTCTGGCCTCGATTGCTTTACTGGTAAATTTTATCAAACTTATGTCATAAATATCATCAATCCTATTTATATTCTTTCATAAAATGCTAGAGGTGGGAACACTTCTTGACTCATTTTATGAGGCTCCTATTTCCCTGATACCAAAATTAGATAAGAGTAGTATAAGAAAAGAAAATTACTCATATTTCTGTGAAAATAGGTGTAAAAATTCTTAACAAAATAATGGCACATTGAATCAAGCCAGATATAAAAATGATGTTATGCTGTCATCAAGTGGAGTTTATCCCAGTAATGCAAGGTTGGTTTAATAGACAAAAATCAATCAGTGTAATTCACTATATTAATAGAGTAAAGGAGAAAAATCATATAATCATTTCACAAAAGTTTTTGACAAAATACAACGCAAGTTTATGATAAACTCTCAGCTCCCTTGGAAACTTTCTTACCTGAAAAAAGGTATTTGTGAAAAACCTATAGCTAACATCATACTTAATAAAGAAATAATCCATAAGACCCAGAATAAGGCAAGGATATCTACCATTGCTACTTTCATTCAACATTGTATTGGTAGTCCTAGCTTATGCAATGAGAAGACAGAAAGAAATAAAAGATATATAGATTGGAAAGAAAAATGTAAAACTCTTTTTTTTCCTCATACAGGTAACATAATTGTATATATAGAAAATCCTAAGGAATCTATGAAAAACTACAAGAATTAATAAAGTGAATTTAACAGTGTCATAAGATACACAGTCAATATACAAAATCAATTGTAGTTCTACATTGAAATGCACTGAACATTTAGAAAAGAAGTTAAAAATAGTCTAGGAGAAAAAGCAGGTAATCCAGTGGTATGAAATCCAGGGCTACCTGGGAAGCACCATGGTATCATTAGTGATCTAGGTTTTTTCCTTTCTGTTCTACCACTCAAGTGCCTGGTCTCCATCCTCAAGGTCACCTCATGGTCTGTGACAGCTGCTGAAACTTCAGCTATCAGAGTCACACTCTAGGCTGGAAAATGGAGAAAGGGTGAGCTGGAATGAAAAAAAAAAAAAAAAATCCCTTGTCAGATATCTCAGCTCTCTTTAAAAAAGTCCTGTACAAGACTTCCACTTAGAGCTCTTTAGCCAAACTTAAGTCATACAGCCACACTGAGGAATATAGTCTATCCTAGGTAGCAGTCTGCCCAGATAAATGTCAAGGGTATCATTTAAGGACAAAGGGGAGAAAGGATGTTGGGATAGACAACATTCCCGGATAGGACCTTATTTACACAGACCTGTTAGGTTTGGCTCCATATAAAAGAAAACCCCACAACAGTGGCTTCAACAAGATTAAAATTTATTCCTTATTCTTACTGAAAAATAGTCCTGGGGAAATCTTTTTTTTTTTTTTTTTTAATAAAGTATTTTTAGGATTATGCTGCACTTGGTATTTTTGTATTTGACTGCTTATTACTGAGGGTGGTATGGTATTTGACTTTCCTTCAGCATTATAAACAACATATATATGTCATTTTAACCCTTGTTTTTCCTCAGAGACAATGGACCCCAGATAGCCTATGTTCGGGACTTCAAGGCAAAGGTTCAGTATTTCCGGTTCTGGTGTCAGGTTAGTATTAGGACTCCCTTTTCCTTTGTTATGTTGCTTGTATTTCTGTACTCCCTTTTCCTTTGTTATGTTGCTTGTATTACACAGTGATTGTGAAAATAATTAACTCATAGAAAAACAGGAAAAATGGGAAGCCTTGGTATTCCTGTCTCCTGTTTTTAGGGCAAAGAAATAGATTTATCAATTAGATAATTTGTGGCTTCTGTTTTCCAGAAAATTAAGCTAGAAATCATTTGAATAAGAAAACATTGTCACTTTTTTCTCAGTACTCATTCCTTTCAGATTGCAGAAATCTTCAAACATAGGTTAAAACATTTTCTGATGTATAAATTGTAACCAGCCACTTTCATATCTAGCATTTGTGATATAAATGACTTTTACAGGCACATACATGTTTGTAATACATGAGTATGTATGTACACACATGTTTTATTCAGAGTATTTTTTCCAGGTGTGATCAGCTATTTCTGATATATAAATATTTACTTGAATTAATTATTTTTATGGGTTCTAAATAAAGTGAATGCATTAGTCAAAGAGTTACTGTAATGAATATTTTTAAACTTCAACCTCTTATAATTAACTGGGCCCATGGTAGCAAGAAAAATCTGAATTAGAATCTGGTACAGGGATTGAATCCTGGACCTTGGTGTAATCAGCACCAACTGTAACTGAGCTAACTTGCCATCCTGAATTAACTTTTTGAAAATTAAATTAAGTAAAGGTTTTTTTATACTCAATAATTCTTAAGTAATCACTGTGCATATGAGATCTTATTTTCTTCTGTTTCTTATACATTGAATAATACATAGTTAGCAAGAATGCTCACAAATGCATTGTTAAAAGTTATTGAATATAAATTCATATTCATAGTGTACTTGCTTTTCTGTAAGCAGAGGTAAAGGTAAATAAAACTTTTCCCTTTTGGTTTTTTGATAGGCCATTTTAATGGTGAGAGTTGACTTAAGTCATTCTTATATTTCAGCAACTGGCTATGCCACAGCACATAAAGATTACAGTAACAAGAAAAACATTGTTTGAGGATTCCTTTCAACAGGTACTATTTCATTCACTCAATGGTTTGACCTCTGGTTGCCAGCCCAGGACCACCTTTTGGTGCTGGCAGCTTAATCTGATCAGTTTGGAACTTCTTGAGTTGGAGTTCTTGAATTTTTAAGTTTAATCTCATTGCTAACTACCTTAGGAACATGTAGATAGTTTTGTCTGTATATGTGAGTATGTGCATGTTGTGCTTTTGAATGTCAGAGTAATTTAATGTGATTAAGTGGGTTTCAGGTTTCCATTTCTAAACTGCTAATTGTTTGATTTGAAATAGATGGGGCCGGCCCAGTGGCTCACTTGGGAGAGTACGGTGCTGGTAGTGCTGAGGCTGCGGGTTCGGATCCTATATAGGGATGGCCGGTGCGCTCACTGGCTGAGCGTGGTGCGGACCACACCGTGCCGAGGGTTGCGATCCCCTTACTAGTCAGGAAAAAAATATATATATATATATACAAGTAAAAAAAATAGGCTTTCAGTAAAGGAAGGTCTGGAAATATAGTCAGGAAAAATATATATATATATATATATACAAGTAAAAAAAATAGGCTTTCAGTAAAGGAAGGTCTGGAAATATCCATATGAACATTGTTAGGTGGGTAGAAAAGAGAGGGAAGGACTTTGTTTTTATACTTCTGTTATCACTTGGATTTTTACAGTGAATATAGTCAGTCTCTGTTGGGCCAATTTCTTGAAACATAACTTGCTGGTAGCAGTGCTGAAAAGATACAAAACATTATTAAACTGTCCTTTTATCTTTTTTTTTCTTCCTTTTTTGTCTTTTTTCGTGTCTGGCAACGGATCGCAACCCTCAGTGTCGCGCCCATACCGGACCGGGACCGGCAACGGGATCGCAACCCTTGGTGTTGCTCCCACGCCTCGCTCAGCCAGTGAGCGGGAACCGGTCTGTATGTGGGATCCGAACCCTCGGCGGGAGCGCCTGCCGCACTTCCCAAGCGGCGCACTGTAGCAGTGCGCCACCGGGCCGGCCCATCCTTTTATCTTTTGACTTTTGAAAGCTAAAGGCTTTTGTAGAATGACAGACCAGGTGATACTAAAACAGTTGTTTAAAACTCACCCTCCTTTTGACATCCATCAAATGAACGGGAATAAAAATTTAAGAGAACAATTTGTTTGCTTATAGGTAACAAATCTGATAGCAAAATTAGTATCAGATTTTTTTTTATTGCTGTTGGATATTTCTCTGGATAGTATTTCTTTTGTTAATATAGCACAACTGCTTATGGGGGAAATTGCAGGAGAAAAAAAATTTTTTTTACTTATACTAGGCATCTATTAAAGGGACTTATTTAAGGATAGTTTTAACCTTGTAACGTGTTTCATTTGCCTACGTACCTAGCCTAGTATTTGTAGAATATTTATCATAAGCATGTCATAAGTGTTGAATTTTTTGTTACAACTGGGATTTTCTTGTTTGAGTGGGATGTGAATTTACAAAACTGATTTGCCTATTTTGTGGTGAACTGTGAGAACCTTTGCATAAATAGGTTACTTATTGATCCTCTGGATATTTATAGTGAGAGTTCATTCTTAACACTTCCTCTCCAAGCCCTTGCATTTTTTTCCTAAGAGTAATTAATATACACTGTGCTGACTCAATTTTGGGCAAATAATTAAGTGGTCTTACAGAAGTGGAAACCAAATCAGCTATTCAGTGTAGCTCAATAATTGTATTGTTCTTCAAATATGAAGATGATCTATTAACCACCTATAATAGGACAGAAAATTTGAGTAGTTTTTCCAGGTATTTATAGGTTGCCAAAGAGAATGAATTTCCAAAGTTAGCTAGATTCTCTCTGCAGCCACTAGTTTTCATTTCCAGGTTAGGCAGTTAGCTATTATGTGTACTTTTGACTGTGAAACAAACCCAAATCTAACCAAACACAAAAAAACAAAGAAATAACACCTAACCTCTCACTATGCCCACAGTTACTCTGTGCTCTAAGCAATTGATATAAGCAACTTTATAAATAAGTTAGTAGTAGGATCATTAAAAAGAAATTTATATGTGTGTAAAGTATATAAAAATAGACATGTATAATATATAAAATATGAAATTTGAATGTATTTTCTGTATGTGTAGTGTTGACTAGACCCAAAACACCATTCTGTGTTGTGGGGGTTTTAAGTTACCTATAACGAAGGAGATTTCAGAACTGGAACTGGTAGAATGCTGTTTCAAAAACTGTTTTCACTAGTTCTTTTACTTTGTTTTTTAGATAATGAGCTTCAGTCCCCAAGATCTGCGAAGACGTTTGTGGGTGATTTTTCCAGGAGAAGAAGGTTTAGATTATGGAGGTGTAGCAAGGTAGTGATAATATGAATACTCAGAACTTAGTTTCTTTCCTCGAAAGGTATAATTATACTTTGCTTGCAAGTATTATTTTCTCAATCTATGTTTTAGGAAAATGAAATGTAGCAAATTATTATAACTTTATTATGCTGCATCTACAGAATTTCAACAAACATTAATTCAACACTTTCTCTCTAAGGTACTGCTAATCGATTTCATCCACATCACTCATTTAATCTTCAGGATACTCTGAGATAAATTTTACAGATCATGAAGAGGTTTAGAGACTTGCCTAACGCACATAGTAAGGTGTAGAGCCTGGGTGCAAGCTTTGAGTCATCTAACCAATAGACAATGTTCAGTCAAGCATCTTATAATGTTCCACAGAGCACACAAGGCCCTGTAGTGATCAGTTCATTTTCCCCACCACACGTACTGATACAGATAACAGTCGCTCATTTCCCAACTAAGATTAATATGTCTGTCATGAGAGTGTAGAAAACGTATAAAATAGGAGTTGAAAGTCTTAATTCTGCTTTCTTCATGTTGGAGCTTCTAATTGAAGCTAGAAGATAGCCTCAAGCAAGAAATTGCTTTGCTTATTCCATAACAATATATCATACCAGGTTAAAAATTTGCGTAGCATTGGCAGTGTGGAAAGGCGAGGACTTTGGAGTCAAGACTGCCCTCCATAGTGTGACCTTGGGCAAATATCTTCATCAGTGAAATAAGAATAGCAATTTCTAGGACTATTGTGAATAGAAATATTGTTTATTAATGACCTAGTTCAGAGATCTGGGTGTGCTCACTAACTGGTGGCCACATTTTAGTAGTACTTATTTGTATTGTTTCCAAGTTCAAATAAAGCTATTTTAAAGTGTATGAACTAATCATAGATAAATAATAAATATGAGAAGAAACATTTAATGTTGTAAAAATTAAAGATAATTCAGGAGGTGGGCAATCATTCATTCTTAACTATATGCTTATTTTAAATATAATTAGTATTACCACCAGAGGCCATGAACTAAAAGAAATAGAGATCTAGGACACCGCTGATGTTACACATATTGCCCCAGATCTGCTCTGTCGGTCCACCCATGTTACATACTTAGTAACCATAATCTTTTGTTAATATGGGTTGGTAATTTAACTGCATTTGAAGTTGCACCTCCCAGAACATTTTTCTAACAAATGAGTGGCTGGAATTAAGTGCTTTACTGCACCTGTGAAATTGGAAGGTTTTTTATATTTATCTAACGTGTTAGGGAATAGTGGCACTTCATGAGGATCACTATGAGACTTAGTAATTGATGGCATATTATACTCATTTAAGCCACTCTAATCACGAGTCAATAGTGAATTTTAAACTTGCTTATGTATAGTATTTCATTGATTCTAAGACTAACATTTTCATATTTTAATGTTTCTGAATTTGTAAAATAGATGTGAATTTGAACAGAAGCAGTAAAAATCAACATGAGATTAGAAAACTGTTACCTACTAATTATAGATTCCTGAGAACTTTGTAGCACTTCTCTTTGATTTGTCGGCATGGTAACTTACAAGATTTTTCATCCAAGTTCTCTTTTGATTTCAGAGAATGGTTCTTTCTTTTGTCACATGAAGTGTTGAACCCAATGTATTGCCTGTTTGAATATGCAGGAAAGGATAACTACTGCTTGCAGATAAACCCCGCTTCTTATATCAATCCAGATCACCTGAAATACTTTCGTTTTATTGGCAGATTTATTGCCATGGTAAGTGCAGGTGGAGAACTGTGCATTTACTTTGCTAATTCAGCAATATTAAATTTTCTCGTATCTGTCATAACAGATCATATGACAAGGGAGTTTTTTTAAATGAAGAACTCATCTAACATTTTGAAATAAAATGACTATTTTACAATTCTCTTAAATAGTATTGTTTCCTCTTTGCATAGGCTCTGTTCCATGGGAAATTCATAGACACGGGTTTTTCTTTACCATTCTATAAGCGTATCTTGAACAAACCAGTTGGACTCAAGGATTTAGAATCTATTGATCCAGAATTTTACAATTCTCTCATCTGGGTTAAGTAAGTTTCTGATTCCATTTAATTTTTAAAATATAGTCTATGTGCTTTCATGTGACATTGGTAACTTATCCAAACTAAGCATAAAATTAGTTTATTGAATTTAAATGATCTATACATCATTTTCAATATAAGTTTTACAGAAATATCTGTAAAAATATTGCCAAAGATCTTAGGCAATAATATGACTTTAGATCATAATCTTTCAGTTTCTTATTTTGATCTTATACCTTAATATTATTTAAGAACATAGGCCTTTAGTTAAAACTTTTTAATCATGATTGAATTGGTGAATATAACAAATAGTGCTAATTTCATTTGTGCAGAGAAAACAATATTGAGGAATGTGGTTTGGAAATGTACTTCTCCGTTGATAAAGAAATCCTAGGTGAAATTAAGAGTCATGACTTGAAACCCAATGGTGGCAATATTCTTGTAACAGAAGAAAATAAAGAGGAATACATCAGGTGAGAGAATGACCCTTTTGTCATAGTTTAGCCTTTCTGTGGAACTACTACAATTAGCATGTCACTAATTGCCTAGTAATACTAATGGACAATATTTTTTAAAAATGTTTGCTTTTGTACTAATCGTTGTCCTCTATAGGCAGTTATTTCTCATTTCCAGTTTCAGCCCAAAAGTGGGAATTTTAAGGGTAGAAGTCATGCTGGATCACTCTTTTAAATACCAATTGTATAACCACAATGCAATGTATCATGTCATTGAAAAGAATCTCAAATTCATATGCAGATATTTTCATGGGGACTATCATAAACTCAGGTAAAATTTATAAGTAAAATGATGGTTTATAGTCTATCCTCGGTAATGCTTTGCAGTGGTTCATACCTCTAGGCTCAAGAGTTATTTAGTTCATTCATATCTTCTCAACACCAGTATTCTCCAATCAGTGTTAAATTTAGTATGTCTGCTTTTTCTTAAGTTCTAGTTTCTGAGAGTCTCTTGCCTGGTTTTCACTCCATAGTTAAAAATACGCGATTTAACTATTACCAAATACTGTGGAAAGTCACTAATTGTTGGTAAATAATCTATCCCTTTAAAATTTTAGTTAGTTTAAAATATCCCTTTAAAATTTAGTTTTTGTTAATTGTTTCCACAGTTTTTTTAAATTATGATGTATCTATCTAGATTTTGTTATGATATACCTAGTACTCTAGAAGAAAAAGAAAAGAAAAAAGCCCAAGATTCCACATAGGCCAGCCTCCAAAAGAAAAGAAAAAAACCAATTTATGGAATATTTCTCTTCCTTAAATCAAATTATGGAACATTTCTTTTCCTCTTGACCCCCATAAGGGGACAATATATAACAACCCTTCCCCTGGCCAGAAACAACAAGTTCTTTTAGTTCTATTTCTGTGAACTTCCTAAAATGGAGTCATAGTATGCAGTCTTGTGTCTGGCTTTTTCTTTTACTCAGTGTTTGTGAGATTCAGCCATGTTATATATATCAGTATTTTATTACTTTTGTTGCTGAGAATTACTGTATTCCATAGTATATATGTGTGAAGTATCCTCATATATCACAATTTGTATATACATTCTCTTATGGACATTTGGGTTCTTTCCCAGTTTGGGGCTATGATGAGTGAAGCTGCTATGAATATTCTTATTGAGTCTTTTTGTAGGCATATGTTTGTATTCCTCTTGGGTAAATACCCAGGAGTAAAATCACTGGGTCTTAGGGTAGGTCTTTAATATTATCAGAAATTGCCAGTTTCCCAAAGTAATTATACCAGTTTGCAGTCCTACTCCAATATTTGTGAGTTGCTTCACATTCTTGCCAACTCGTTATTGTCAGTAGTATTTCATGTGGTTTAATGAACATTTCTCTCTTGACTAATGGTGTTGAGTACCTTTTTGTATGTGTATTGATTATTCGTAGCTCTTTTGTGAAGTGTCTGTTCAAATCTTTTGTCCTATTCTGGATCATTGATTTTATACCTTTTTTAATATAAGTATTTCCAGCTATAAATTTCTAACTAAGCACTATGTTAGCTACCTCCCACAAATTTCAGTATGTTGTGGTTTTCATTATCATTTAATTTAAAATATTTTCTATTATTCCTTGTGGTTTCTTCTTTGATCCATAAGTTATTTAGAAATATAGTGTTTAATTTCCAAATATCTGGAGATTGTCAATATACCTTTCTGTTGTTTTTTAGTTCAGTTCCATGTTGTTAGAGAATATGCTGTGTTACTTTAATTATTTTAAATGTTTTGTAACTTGTGTTATAACCCAACATATGATCCATCCTGTGCACTTGAAAAGATTGTGTACACTGCCATTGTTGGGTTAGTGTTATAAAAATTTCAACTAGGTCAAGTTGGTTGATAATGTTGTCAAGTTCTTCTATATCCTTACTGATTTTTTTTGTATACTTCTTTTATCAGTTATGTGAGGAATATTGAATTCCTCAATTATAAATGTGTGTCTATTTCTTCTTGCAGTGTTATTTTTGCTTCATGTATTTTGAAGCTGTTATTAGTACATTGACATGTGTGGTATGCTTACTTGAGTTGACCCTCATTATGAAATGTCATTCTTTATTTCTGGTAATAACCCTTATCCTAAAGTCTACATTTTAAATATAAATATATCTACTCCAGCTTCCATGTGATTAGTATGTACATGGTATATCGTCCTCTGTCCTTTTATTCTCTGTGTCTTTATGTTTAAAAATGTTTCTTGTAAGTAATATATTCTTCGTTCTTATTATTTTTATCCAGTCTGATAAGCTCTCCTTTATAACTGGCGTGTCTAGTACATTTATATTTAATGTTATTACTGATATGATTGGACTTAAGTCTAACCATTGCTATTTGTTTTGCTGTTTACAAGTCTCACCTTGCTTCTTTTTTGCTGCTGCTTCTTTTTTTTTTTTTTTTTTTTTTTTTTTTTTTTTTTTTTTTTTTTTTTTTTTTTTTTTTTTTTTTTTTTTTTTTTTTTTTTTTTTTTTTTTTTTTTTTTTTTTTTTTTTTGGTTTTCCCAACTTCCTTTGTTCTTCCTTTCCTACTTTGCTCGAATTAGGACAGCAATTTTTACTTTTCTTTTTTAATCTCTTTTGTTGGTTTTTTAGCTATGCCTCTTTGTTTAACTGTTTTAGCAGCAACTCTGATGATCATAATATGCATTTTTAATTTATCCCTGTCTACCTAAAATTAATATTATACCACTTCTTATACAATATAAGAAGCTCATAATAGTATAATTCCGTTTACCTCACTCTAGCTCTTTGTGCTGTTCTCATATTTTATTTATACATGTTATAAATCTCATAATACCTTATTGTTCTTACTTTAAGTAATCAGTATATTTTTACAGAAAATTAAGAAGTAGTACTCATATTTATTCACATTATTTTCCTGATCCTGTTCATTTCTTTTCACAGATCCATTTTTCCATTTGGAATCATTTCCCCTGGGCTTAAAATCTTTCTTTACCATTTCTCTTAGTGTGCACATGCTAGCATTAAATTCTCTCAGCTTTTATGTGGTAACATCTTTATTTCACTATTTTCTAAGTCTATTTTCACTAGATTTAGAATTCTAGGTATATAATTTTTTAAAAAAATTCTTAGCACTTTCAACAGTTAACCGTTAACTTCCATTATTTTTAACGATGTGAACCATTGTTTTTGTTTTTCTGAATTAAATGTGTGTCTGTATATGGCTTTTAAAAGATTTTTCTCTTGGGCCGGCCCGGTGGCGCACTGCTACAGTGCGCCGCTTGGGAGCGTGACGGCGCTCCCGCCGAGGGTTCAGATCCCACATACAGACCGGCCGCTCACTGGCTGAGCGAGGTGCGGGCGCGACACCAAGGGTTGCGATCCCGTTGCCGGAAGGAAAAAAAAAATAAAGCAGCTGATTTTTTTTTTAAAAAAAGATTTTTCTCTTTAATTTTGTTTTTTAGCAGTTTGACTCTGATGTGTCTAGTTGTGATCCCTTTTATATTTTTCCTACTTGTTTGCTGAGCTTCTTGTATCTATGATTGATGCCGTTTCATCATTTGTGGGAAATTTTTGGAGTTTTATCTCTGTGGATGTTCCTTATGCTTCATTTCCCTTTCTGCATTACTTCAAAGACTTAAGTTACATGTACATATAACCTTTGGTATCATCCCATAGTTCTCAGATGTTGTGGAGTTTTGGGGGGTTTTTTTGTTTTTTGTTTTTTCCTTATCTTTTTTTTTTTTTTCGGTCCTTTAGATCATTTTGGTTCATCTGTCTTCAAGTTCACAGCTCTTTTCTGCTGTTAAGTCAGTGAAATTTTCATTTCAGATATTCTAGAATTTTCATCTGGCTCTTTTAAGAATTTCTATTTCTCTGACAAGAATCTCTATCTCTACCCGTTTTGTCCATCTTTTCCTATAAATTCTTTACTACATTTTTAATAGCTGTTTTAAAGTCTTTTGTTTGCTAACTTCAACATTGGGCCATCTGTAAGCCTTACTTTATAGGCTTTTTCTTATGGGTCACATTTTCCTGATTCTCTGCGTGTGTAGTAATTTTTTTATTGTGGATACTAATGGTAAAGACTCTGGATTCTTTTTTCTTCCTCTAAAGAGTATTTGAATTTTGTTCTGACTGGCAGTTAAATTAAGGGCAGATCACTTTGATCCTGTGAAAGCTGCTAGAGTCAGTCCACTTTTATTTTACTTTTAGTCCTAACACATAACCCTTATTCCTAGAATATGGTCCTTACTCCTTGCAATGGAAAGCAGTGTACCGCACCCCTCTAACTTTATGGGATGTAGACTGTTAAATTCTCTCTCCAGCACTAGGTAGCTGCTGAAATTTATGCTCAGGTCTTTGGCATGCCAGTTGTTGCTTTCCACAGAGTTCTTTGGAGTCACATCATCCTATGCACATTCATTTACAGTTAAGGATTTGAAGTAAATTTGTGTATAGATTTGGGAGCTCCCTCTCTTTGTCTTCCTTCTTTCTGGGATTTTCCCCTAGCTGCTTTGGCAGCTTCAAGCTCCCAACCTCATGTCTGCTCAGCTTAATAAGATTGTTGTTTTCCCTTTGGTCTCTATCCACCTGTGCTGTCTGTAAACTGGGAAGTGCCGTCTGGGGAAAAACCTGTTTAATGTGGATCTGCTCTAGTGTGCTAACCTCCTTTTAAGAATCTAATCTCCACCAGTTCCTGTATGCTTTTGGTTTCTTGCTGATGCCTTCAAACCATTTGTTTTTTATAATTTGTCCACAGTTTATCATATCATTGTAATCACCAGGATTAGTCCAATACAACCTAAACTTAGGACACCAAAAGTTGTCATAAGTTGTTGTCAAGGAATCAAATGCCTAAAATACACATATTTCTTCATTATAATTTTTAAAAAGTAAATATTCTGTAATAAAATGGAAAAAATCAATTTATACATTTATCATGTTTAACTGTTAAGATGTATATATGTACATAAAGATTAGCAGAAAGGCAAAGTCGAAATCTATAATTCTTGGCAGAGAAGAATTTTCTTTTATAACATTTTCATTTAAAAAAATTGTAAGGGTTCAAAAAACAATACAAAAGATCAATGAATCAATAAGTTGGTTTTTTGAAAAGATAAAATTGACAAACCATTAGCATGGCTAACAAAAAAAAAGAAGAGAGAAGATTCAAATAACAAAAATTAGAAATGAAAAAGGTGATATTACAACTGA